CGCACTGGTTGGTCGCTGGTGGTGGCGGTATCGTGTCAGTGGTGTAGCGTCGTCGTGGAATACTGACAATCACTCGTAACCGACATGCATATCAACGATCGGCAATTGATCGACACCTAAACTCCAGTCGAAGCCTGACGGTTCTGAACTGTGGTCGGGCACCCCCCGAGAAGCGCGAATCCAGGAGTGCACCCACGGCGTGGGGAAAGAGCAGGAGGAGAGGGGGTTGTCAGGCAATCACGATCGTTGCACTCTGGAGATCTGTGCACGCCAACCGAGATCCACCTCCTCCTCGTCGTCCTCCTCCTCCTCCTCCTCCTGCGCCCCTTCCCCCCCCCTGCCTCCGCCTCCTCGCCCTCCCCCTCCCCCATCCGCATCCTGCCCCACCCCCCTCCGCCTCCGGATCCTGGACGAGGCTGTTGCGTTCTAACCTGCTCCTCCTCCTCCTCCTCAGCCGGCTCGAGCGCAGTCGACTTTGTCTGGAGAAGACACGCGAGAGAACACTCCGGGCCACATTGCAACGGGTGTAGGAGGCACTGGTCGCGGAACACAGGCCGTGCCTTGACAGGGTCGACCTGCTAGTCGAACTCGACTGTAAGGCGCGCTCCTCTCGGCGCCTCTTGCACCTCCGAGGGGCAAACGACTGGAGGGACTGGCACGGGGGGGGGCGCACCGACCCGGAATCGGCGATGGATCGGCGACAGGCCCCCGAGGGTGAAAATGGACCTTCCTGGGCGCATGGGGGCGGGCCCCTATCGGCGATCAGTCCGCGGTTGGGGGTCGATGCATCCCCCCCCTGTGCCTAGAAGCCTCAGAACAGTTATAGGACACTTCAGATATTCACTGGAAGCCTAGGGTCAACTATGGGAATCTCGAAGAAAGCCATCGAACACCTTGAGGGGAGCCATAGGTATCCGACTCAAGGGAAGCTACGAGACACCCATTCGAAGCGGAAGGGGAACGATTAAACGCCGACTGGGAACTTGAAGTAACCAATGAGAAACCTCAAGAAAACCATTCGTGATCCAAACACAACCTAAAATAAAGCTAAAGACAGACGTAAGACACCCCAGGAACACCGTGGGACAAGGAAGGGGCAACCTAAGGAAAATCATCGGAAGTATGAGAAACACTACCCAATATCTCGTCAGCTTCCGCCTGGACGGCCGCCCCTCCATTCTTCCTATTCTCCTCCTTGTCGCTTCTGGCCGCCACATGCGTTGATAATTCGGGGACGATGCTTTTTGGCTGCGCCTATGGAGGAGCCCACCAGCGCCAGCTGGGGTCACGAAACCGTGGGGCAAGAATCATAAATCTGTGGCCCCCAAATGCGCTGCTTCCCTCCCCGAGAGAGGAGGGATGGGGGTCCTCCGTTGAGAAGCACGTAACTAACAGTGCGCGATCCTAAGCCGTATCGGACCAAATACGACTCCGACTGCGTGCTCCGGGCGAGCCCGAGGATGCGTGTGAGTCACAGTGGTGCGTGCCTTCAAGTGGTTGTCCTGCAGGGGCCCTACAGGGCGGGTACGTCAATGCGGTCTGATATCTCAATTTGACCCTTCTCCTCGGCTTCTCCCCCTGCTGTCCTCCTCCTCCTGAGCCGTATGCCTCTTTCTGAGCCTCCTCCTTCTCCTCGTCATCGTAGGAGGCCTCCGACATGAGGCCTGGAAGGGGTTTCAACATCGACCACATCGCTCATGCACTTGAGATGTCGGTGCTCATGGAGAATGCTGTCTGGTTCTGGTTCGCGCCCGATGCGTCGGCAGTGTAGTGCTATCGACCGGGGCAACCGATTCACTCCAGCCCCATCGAGATTCACCCAGGACTCCACGCACCCTGCCAAGTGTGTCGTCCTCTATCTCTCCCCCTCCTCACCATCCGCCTGCAGTTCTTTTTCCTCAACCTTCTCTCCTCGTCCACCTCCTGGCAAGAGGGGATTCGAAAGTTCATCCTGTGGTGCCAGTTGCGTTGCAGCCACGTGCTGATCGCGTATCCCGCACGAACGAACTACCGAGAACCCCTGGCAAAGGACCAAGGCGCGCGAATCCGAATCCTGCTTATGTTGTTGATATCTTACTTAAGGACCACACCAAGAAATGAATTCGAGCACCCAGGGAAGTATCGAAACAGTGTCGAACGAGTATCGCCTCCCAGGACCTGACACGTGAAAACCTTCGAGATTCGGCATTTTCCTGGTACTCGAAATGATTTCTGGTGATCGCAGCTAAAGTGGGCTGGAACATCATGACTCCTGCTCCCCTTCGCCCACCATCCCCCCCTCCCGTGATGGCCTCTCCAGCTGCCATCAGCGAGGCCGCGGCAGCGTCGATGTCGCCGCCGTGCGCACGGAGCGCCTCCAGGCAGTCCCCCAGCGGCATGCCAGTCACCTGAGCATCGCTGGGAAAGAGAGGCAGGAAGGAAGGAAGGAAGGAAGGAAGGAAGGAAGGAAGGAAGGAATGAGGAGGAGGAAGAGGAGGAGAAGGAGGAGGAGGAGAAGGAGGAGGAGGAGGAGAGAGTCTGACACGGCTTGGGGCGCGCAGACAAAAAGGTCCCAGGATGGTATTGCGTCAGGTGCGATCCTGCTGGGATCGTTCCCCCACTCTTCCGGCGTGTAGAGCCGGGCGACATTTCCGTTTACCCCACGCAATACGGACAGCATGACCTTTCGCATTCGTTACGGTTGACCTTAACACAAGAACACGAGTGGCCGGTGGCCACCGAACAACAATCATGGACTAGCGAGAACATCCCGAGAGATACCCACCCCGACGATAGCCGCCGGCATGGCAGCGCGGGCCGCCGCAGCTACGATTCGGACCACGGGGCGGGCCGACGGAGCAAAGCGGGCCAGGCAAGGAGCCGAGGAGCGCGAGGAGCCGAGGAGCGCGAGGAGCCGAGGAGAACGGGCTGGAGAGCGCGGAGCCGAGGAGCGAGAACGGGAAGGGGGAGGGGGAGGGGGGGACGACGGGAGGAGACGGACCGGGACGACAGACGGAGGGCCGGGGGGAGGCCAAGCAGGGAGAGAGAGGGGGAGCACACCGCACACGGGGGCGAGGAAGCGCAAGGGCGGGGGGAGGAGCACGGGGGAGGGGGAACACACAAGGGCGGAGGGGGGGGTGGGCGCACGGAGAGGGAAGAGGATGGGGGGAGGAGGAGCCGAGGGCCGAAGAGAGAGGCAACGAGGGAAGCGGGCCAAGAGGCGCGACCGTGCGCCAGCGCGGTGGGATCACTGCAGGCCTCCCGTCTGACGGGACGGAGATGACCCAGAGCAGCGGCGGGGCCAGGACGAGGCAGGGGGGGGGGGGAGGACACGGACGAAACGCTTGGGAGTGGCTTCTAGCCCTGGCCGCCTCGGCGACACCAGGAGCGGCTGCTGCAGCGCCCGGGGCGCGCTTCAACCCCGCCCGGGCGTTCGCACGCCGGACGGCGACGCCTCGGGGGCGCGCCCCGGGGGGAGCCACGCGGGGCGCCCCCAGCAGATCCAGAAAGTGTTTTTTGTGTGTGCCCAGAATGCTCAATGCGGAGAACGCGAAGGGCACTTGTCTGTCATCCTCCTGCTCCTCCCCCCCTTCGTCCTCCCCTCTCCTCTGCCTCCGCCTCCTCCTCCTCCCCGCTTCTGCTTCCCTTCTCCTCCTCCTTCCTCTTCCTCGTCCTTCGACTTCGAACTCCCAGTCAAACGTGGTTCCTGATTCTCTCTTCGCTGCCCCGGCCACGCCGGCAAAAACGGCACCCAGCACAGTTGTGAAAACCAACCTCGCCGAGGAGCTGCACCAAACCACAGGCAAACTCGGTCGGAACGCCTGCTACTCGTAGGAGAGAGGCTTACTTACTCACCAATCGGACAAAAGTAGGTGGACACAGTAAGTAGGAAGGCGGGTAAAAACACAATCATTACCTACTTTCATCGACTAGCTTTGGGTGGCCCAAAAGAAGGTCCAGCTGAAAGGGG